GAGGGAGGGAGGGAGGGAGGGAGGGAGGGAGGGGCCACCTTCCCCGGGAAGTCTCTCAGTAGTCCCCTCTCTCTTCCTCTTCCTCTTCCTGCCTTGTAGGTGACCGAAGGGTGCCACCTGTCGTGTCTGGATGCCACAGTGGAGGGCCAGGGGTTCTGTGCTGTTCCCGCCTGGGACCCCGTGACAGGATGGGGGACACCCAACTTCCCAGAGCTCCTGCGTGCCCTGCTGGGCCAGTGACTCTTTGAGGGTGGGGCGGAAGGCCCCGCTGGACCGGACTGTGAAACCCTTTGACGACTCTCGCACTCTTGAGCCACTCTTGGCCTGGAATGCATCTCGGGGTGGGGGAGGGCCAGGGGAGGGGGCCGATTTCTGCGTCTGCTCCTTGGGTGTGGGTTCCATGGTGGGTTGTCCCTCTGCTGCCTGCGGGTGATCGGAATTCTCCCAAACATGGCCCCCTGTCAAGAAAACAAACCCTCTCTTGTCTCCAGAGAGACGGCACACACGCAGGCCGGAGGCCGAGTCACTTTTGCTGTCTTTTTGGACACCTGCCCTACAGCAAGGAAAGGGGGCCTGCAGGGCTGGGGTTCAAACATATATGGGTGCCAGGAAGCAGAACCCCCCCTCCCTTCCCCCCCTCCTCCAGGCCAGCCGGCCGGCTGAGACCTGTTCTTGGAAGGCCTCCTGCAGCAGGGGCGGCCTCTCTAGCGAGCTCCTGGTTCCCCTCCTTGGAGGCGCTGCTTCTTGGCTGAAGAGCCTCTGACTGAGGGGAGGCAGCAGCCGCTGAGCGGGTCTGTGCCCTTCGGAGTGTCTGTCCACACACACACTTGCCCGTGGGGGGGGAGGGCTCATTGGGCCCCCTTGGATTCCCTTGATGGTTGCTGTAGCGTCCGGATGTACAGCCAGGCAGCCAGGGAGGGGCACCTGGAAGCGTGCCTCCCCCTTCCCCCCACCCCCCACCCCCCACGGGCTTTACAGGAAGTTGTGGCTAGCTAGCTTGAGAGTGCGGTTCTTGGTTTGGGGCTGTTGGCTGCCCCGTTCTGTTGTGCAAACCCTTCCTCCTGTGATGGGGTGGAGATTTCCCAGATCCAGACCCAGAGGTGGAATGGGGATAAGAAGGCTGACTGCCCAGCCAACTTGTCTGGTCTCCTGGGGTCTGTTTCCCTCCACCACTAACGGGAGGGGGGTTCAGGCATGCCCAAGCACACGCCAGTTGGGTGTCGTGGTCAAGTGTGTGGACTCTAGTCTGGGAGAACGGGGTTTGATTCCCCCACTCCTCCACTTGTACCTGGCAGGATAACCTCGGGCAAGCCTTAGTTCTGGCAGAGCTGTTCTTGAAAAGGAGCCGTTTCTGTCAAGAGCTCTCTGAGCCCCACCCACATCACAGGGTGTCCATCTGTTGTGGGGAGGGGAAGGGAAGGGAAAGGAGTTTGTAAGCCGCTCTGAGACTCCTCTGGGTAGTGAAGAGCCATGGGGTATGAATCCAATCTCTTTTTCTTCTAATCTGGGAGAACCGGGTTTGATTCCCCACTCCTCTACATGCACCTGGCTGGATGACCTTGGGTAAGCCCTAGTTCTGTCAGGAGCAGTTTCTGTCAAGAGCTCTCTCAGCCCCACCTGCCTCACAAGGGTGTCTGTTGTGGGGAGGGGAAGGGAAAGGAGTTTGTCAGGCGCTCTGAGACTCCGAGTGAAGGGCAGGGTAGAAATCCAACCACTTCTCTTCTTCTCTTACTGGGAAACTATTATGCAAGATGTGAGTTTGCAACAGAGAGTCTCTTCAAAGTGTATCTGTTTGATGCAAGAAATCAGAAAATTGTGATCTTATATACTGAGTTTTGATTTCATTCAAACTCTTATCTGTGGACATTGCGTGTCTAGGATGTCAAGCTGCCCCAGAGGATGGGGGTGGGGAGTGCAAATCCAGACAGGAGAGAGAGACAGACAGACAGACAGGGGGAGGGGGGTTCCTTGCTGGCGGCTGCTGGCAGCCTTCTGCTACGGCCACCATTGGGGGGGGGGGCTGCTGCAGAGAGGCTTTCTGTTTCTCTCTGTTGCTTCACTCCCCACTTTTGGCGTAGTGGTGTGGAGCGCAGACTCTCATCTGGGAGAACGGGGTTTGATTCCCCACTCCTCCTCTTCCACACACAGCTGCTGGTGTGACCTTGGGTCAGTCACAAGTTCTCTCAAGGGCAGTCCTCGAGAGAGCTCTCTCAGCCCCGCCCACCTCACAGGGGGTGTCTGTTGTGGAGAGGGGAAGGGTAAGCCTCTCTGAGACTCCTTTGGGTAGTGAAGGGCGGGGCAGAAATCCAATCTTTTCTTCTTTTCTCTCTGGCTCTGTTCACACGTTCCACTGAATGCACACACCTCCTGCATATATGGGAATACTTCAGTTTGTACAAAGAGCCAACATGTATTTACTTTACCCGGATCATTGTGAGGTTTCAACAGCACATTCAGCTGAACGTGTGCCGAAAGTAACATGAGAATTACTCAACAGATGTGTAAAGAAAAATCCAGGGCACCTGGACATGGACTGTGTATGCATTCATTCCCTCTCCACCACTGCACTCCCCACTCTCTCTCACACACCCATTTTACACTTCACTCCTTCCTCCCAGCTCTTTAGTCACCTGGGTCCCTCCTCATTTGGGCAGTTGGGGGGGTAGGCTTGGAGCAAAGAGCCCGCCCTGGGCGCTTTGTGCTCCAGATCTCTTACCGCTGTCACTTGCAGCTGCTGGATGACCTTGGGCAAGGCATAGTTCTGTCAGAGCTGTTTTCTCAAGGGCAGTCCTCGAGAGAGCTCTCTCAGCCCCTCCGACCTCACAGAGGGTGTCTGTCTGTTGTGGGGAGGGGGAGGGAAAGGAGTTTGTAAGCCGCTCTGAGACTCTTCCTTGCAAACGGGCCTGGTGGTGGTGGTGGTGGTGACCCTGTGGGGGTGTGCGAGGCCAGAGATGAGCAGAGGAGGCTGGCCCCGTCGCTTGCCTCTACGCAGGAACCTCCGTCGTCCTTGCTGGGGTTCATCCACTGGCTGACCGTGGCTGGCCCTGCTTAGCTTCCAAGCTCTGGCAAGCTTGGGCTTTTTTGGGGGGGGAAATTAAAATTACCTGAAAATAATAGAAACAAGGTAGCTTTATGGGGGGGGGGAGAAGGTGAGTGTAGCTCAGGGTGAGAGCGCGAATATGCAATTTCTCAGTTGTGCTCAGACCTGAGCTGAATCTGCATTTGCATTTTAAAATCATTTTCGTGTGGCTTCTTTTAAAGCAGTGCGGAGGTGCAATGACAGCGGAGCCGCCCCGAAAGGACGATAAACATATGCAGACGTGCAAAATTATGCTAGCACTGTTGAGGTGTGGAAACTACACCAAATGTAGGCAGCTTTTTTGAAGACTGAGTCAAAAGGCTGGGACACCGGTGGGAAAGACAAATGCAGATTCCGCCCTGCTCTCTGGAGAAAATCCTCTGTGTGTGCGTGTGTGCATATTTTGTTCTTTTAGTAAACCTTTATGATTTCAGTTAGGAGGCCTGTCCTCCCTGAGATGAGGTGCGACTGCCCCCCCCCCAAGGGGGAGGTGGCCCGTGGGGCTTAGAGGGGGAGCCTGTAAAACTGCACCAGAGACAGCAAAAGGCAGGTGGGGGGGGGGAGTGTCCCCCGTCTTCCAACCTGAGCCTCTAGTAACTGACTGGGTGACAGCAGAGGAAGAAGGAGGTCAGGGGTGTGGCCAGGCAGAGACGTGGGGGGCGTGAAGCCTCTGAACTCCAGGCGTGGAAGGAAGGAGATGGAGTCCCACGATGAGCCTGTTTCTCCGCAGGGAGCCAAGCGTTGTCGTCAGGCCAGCGCTGGCAAATGCTGGGTGATTTGGGGGGTGGGGTGGGGAGTCATGACGAACTGTAATGCCTTTATATAGAGTTCTGGTATGGCCACATCTGGTATAAAGTACACACTGGTCACGTGTCTGGAAGTTTGCTTCATTTCTTTCATGTTTGTTATTAATTCCAAAGGGTACTTTAGTTGACGGGCGGTTTTGTTGCTCCGTTCGTTGCTGTTTGGTTTTTGTGATTATTAGTTGTTATTTCCCCACTGGTTTCAGTGGAAGACACACACCCCTCTCCCAGGATCTGTGCCTTCACGGTTTTCCATCCATCCTGGACAAAATTTATGGAGACTGCAGTACTCCCCCAGGACATCCATTCACTGCCCAATTTCAGCCATACAAAACCAGAGAGTCCCGCTGGGCTGTCAAGGGAAAGGAAGGCACCGTGTGCAGCATTAACGCCTGCGGGGAGAAGTCGTGGGAAAGATTCCAAAGAGGCCGAAACGGCAGCCTGCAGCTGAGTGAATTTGGCCCTGTAGCCATGTAACAGCAGCGGAAGGAAGAGGCAAACTGGCAAGATAAGGAAGGCACAATTTGGTGGCACAAGGAGAGGGTGGCATCGGGGCAGGCAGGCAGCGCCAGGAGGATGTTGAGACAGATCTTGGACGGGAGGGAAGGTTTGGAGACCAGCAGGCAAGCGGGGGAGGGCTGCGTGCAAGGGAGAAATGTGGCAGAGCAGGGCAGACATTGGGAGGAGAGAGGAAGGCAAAGTCCCACCCATACTCTTCAGGACTGGAAGACCTCGCTCGCATGTGCAGTTGTTGTGCAGTTGTAAGAACATCAGAGAAGCCAATGCTGGATCAGGCCAATGGCCCCTCCAGTCCAACACTCTGTGTCACACAGTGGCCAGAAATACCAGGTGCCCTCAGGAGGTCCAGCAGTGGGGCCAGGACACCAGAAGCCTCCCCCCCCCCCCCCCCCCGCCCAC